ACGCACGTCATCATCTCGTCGACGGATAACTGCACACACGATCCTTCTCTCGTGCCGATGCAATCTCTGATTCGACGCATGGGTGCCACTTGAGCTTTTATCCGATCATCCGCGACGCAAGACCTCGGATGACAGGAGGATCGCTTCTTTCCTACCATCTGACAATACCATGTGCGTGTTCGACTTTGAAGTTTATCTGAAGTTTGATGTAACCGTGTCCTTCCCCGGCAAGAACGCTACTTTCATACATATGCGAATAATTTTATTTAAATATTAATATATATAATATTTAATTAATTCTCAACAGTGAAAAGATTTTTAAAAATGTCGATGTCCTTCAATATTTAGTAGAGATTTAGTACTTCCTCGTTAGATTATATCGTAGTTGATAATATTGTTTCAAACTAATAAATGACTTTTAGTTGATAACTGATAACTTGATTGACAAGTGATTTTTAATAGATATTTAGCACTTCCTTGTTAGATAATGTCGCAGTTTTGATAACTACGTTTTAACTACGTTTATCAGTTTTCAAACTGATAAATGATTTTTAGTTGACAACTGATAACTGATTGATAAATGATTTTTAATTGATTAGGCTGACTATCTTTTTAAAAAGCAAAAAAGTTATGAAAAATTAACATTCCGTTGAAAATTAAAAGATATAGTTGTAAAGATATGGAATAATGCATTGCGATAAATTTTATTATAAGTCTTATATTAATTATAGAGATAAATTTTATTATAAATTTTATATTAAATTATAGAGATTTATTAAATTGGAAATAAAATTTTATTTTTTTACTTATTTATATAAATAAACATTTTTTACACAAAACATTTTTTTAAGGTGGAAATTTCCAATGCGAGCTATTTTTCTACATAACAAAATTAGGGAATATTTTACTAATTTCGTTACACGTCATTTTTCCTAACGAACTCTTGATATAAACTCTTTTTTTAATTTTATAAAATAATGAAATCTTTTATATGCTATGTTATGAATAAAATCCATTATAAAGAAAATAAAAAAGGGCAATTATAAAATTTTAAATGAAATAGTGTATGATTAAATTCTTATACACAAGCAGTTTTAAAGATCTTATTAATCAATCTAGTATAGTGGAATGGCGTAACATTATTGAAAAGATATCGCTACTTAAATTATGCAATTTATTCACAAGAAAGTTACAAAAAACTTTCAGAAACCCGATTTAGCATATATATAGAGAAATTATATTACGACAAATTACATAAACTATAAATAAACTAAGCAAACTGAGTTTGACTTATAAATGAATTGAATATATGATATCATTACCGCATAATTTTCTATATAAAGCTTAATAAATATAATAAGTTAAATTAACAAAAAATTTAAGATTGAAAAAATACTTCTGATACATTTTTTTAAATAATATCAGTGTATATAATTTTAGAATTATGAGAGATTGTATAATATATGTTTGCAATTAAAAATATTTTCAACACACACACACACACACAATCCATTATATTTTTAGAGAAAGAAATATTACGCGCGCGATAAGATGTGCGCCAAGCACATACCGAAGAAAACCAATTAACACATATAATCAAGCGCGTAGCGGAATTAAAATTATAATTATGAATTTCTGAATAACATCTGAATAATTTGAATCTTTTTTACGCATATAATATTAATATTATCAAACTGATTCCTCGTGTTAAATTCCTCTTTACTAAGTATAGATCGTGCGATAAAACGCTTTACAATCTATAGGCGCACTAAACTACTTAGCGTCAATTATAAACTGATGATATACAATCAAGGATACTTGACTAATTTGGCGTTAATTTCATACTTATTTTCGAGCAGTTAAACTTTTTCAACGTTTTTTTCTAAAAGTTCAATTTATATCGGGTTTCAGAGGCTGTCATGCCACTTGACGATGATGTCCGTGAAGACACAACGTGCAACGTTAATGACGTGCCTGCTGCGACCGACTTTATCGGGGATGCCAGGTTGCGATACCTGGATCGTACAACCGTTATCGAGAAGAGGACGAGTGGGGGAGGTCCAGCTGGATCGCATATATTGGCTCTTTACACGTCGTACACATTGTCCCTCAAGAGACACGATCGAACAAATAAATATATATAATCCATGTCGCGTCTTGTCGATCGTTCATCAATCTCTCGCCTCTGCATATACATGATCGTGAAGATGCGATAATAACAGCTTCTATAATTAATCTCTCGCGGCAGGCATTTTCAAGTAAATTTCAACGGGTATAGTTAACCTTCGCGAATTTAAAAAGGTGACAGTAACCTTTCACATCGCGTCATAGTAATATACGACTATTAATAAAGTATAATAAAGTATAATAAAGTATAATAAAGAAATATTTAAATGAAGTATTTAAAGAAGTTGATTCGCATAAATCTAAAAAATTCACAAATAGAAATGCAATTTATTAAAAGCATTCCGCGCTTCTGAGTACACGGTTATATTTTAGAATTTTTATTTTTTAAATGTTTTAATGATGTGGATGATTGATATAACGGGAATTTACGTATTAATATTTATGACTAAAAGTGGTGGTCGATAAACTTGTTTACCTGAATATGGTCGATAAACTTGTTTATCTGAATATGAAAAGATGATCTTCTATGTATCAGTGTTTTAGTGAAATAGATTATTTCTTTCGTATTTGTATACGCTTAGAGCGAGTATATCGTGACTTTTTTTTGATACTATAAATATTTTCCGTCTTTATCTATGATCCACGTGCCGTTGACAATGAATGATTACAACACGAAGCTATCGCGACAGAATTACATCGACTTTTACATCAGAAAATATTATATTTCTCTCGAAAGAGATAATATCTATATAACTTGCGCCATAATATTATAAGAGACAAGTTATATTGTTGTCGTATTATTAATCTATAACCTGTTTCCTTTATCTGTGTCTGGCGTGTATTATACACATAAGAACGGCAATCCGGCGCGAGGATCGCTTGTCCTTCGAACTGTTGAATTAATTACTCAACTTCCACATCTTATTAGAAGTAGCGAAACAAATTACAACATGATTACATGGATATGAAGTGATCCGATCAATAGATTACTTGGCAAATAAAATGACATGAAAATGGCTATAATTCAATAAAGGCGGTATAAATTTCACGAATGTAAATATTTAGATAATAGAGTCTTAATAGATCCTTAATAGACTCTTCAATTTTAGTTTTAATAAAGATTTATAAAATTAACCCAGTTTGTATATCGAAATTTAAAAAGAGGTGAAATAAATTTTTGTATTACATTATATCAGGAATATCAAAAAATATAATCAAAAGATTATATCAGAAATATCAAAAAATATAATCAAAATAAAAATTATTATTATTATTATTATTATTTCACATAGTATGTATTATTTAATAATAATAATAATAATAACAATATTATTATTATTATTATTTCACATAGTATGTATTCTTTAATATACATAATTTTTAATATACATAAATTTTGATTAGAATATAATTTCTGATGCTCTATACTTTTTTTCGTTCAAAATTGACCAATATGTATTACATAATGATAAGGATTAAAAATTGCGGCGAATGATAGCCTACTTGTTGAGCTCTCATAAAAAAAACGTCGAGGCCGCGTAGTGTTCATAGAATCTTGTTGTCAATTACACGCGTCATGCGTGTGTCATATAAACGCCAATTTATCCCGCATACAATATCAATATTTCTATATCGCGTTCTATATCCCATATATTATTATCGATAACGGAAATTGAATCCCTCGCTCGATTCATGTCAAATGAAATCGGTCGAATTGGGTCGTTAAAGCGTACAATCGTGCGAGCAAGCAACCGCGCATACATTTAACTCTTTCCCCGGGCTTTCACGCACTTTCATAATTCGTAGCGGGCGATCCTCACAAAATCCTATGCACGTTGGCTGCAAAGATTCTTGGTTTCATCGAAGGAAAAATTAAAAAAGAAAACGCGAAGGTCGATTCTTCCGCCATTTCGTAATTTCGTTTCGAGTAGACAGTGGAATTTATCGACATCAAAACATAGACTCTCAAGAATTTACCTTATTTCTCTATTCTATTTACCTATTATTTAACTACCAATTACCTAAGCATGTGGTATCGCAAAAATATGCGCGAAAACATACGCAGAATCCGCCAAGGATAGATTGAGGTCATTTGAGATTGGCTTTAACGGTAATTTCTTGGTTCGATAGTCACTTGGCGAACCATCTGCAAACGATCGATATTTAATTGCCTCACGAGAATTTCGTCAATTTCATGGTCAGACCAGACCAAATTCTTGGAGTAGTTGATTAAGTCACGCTTTTGTAGTCCCCGTTTCATCGCTGTCAGACTGCTTTTAGGTATCTTGTTTTCAATTAATGCTTGGCTGGAAGTTTCGTGGGCTTTCAAATCAATGCCAGTAAATTAAATTTTATTTATAAGCTGAATGACATAATACAAGTGAATATATACCTTTTTTGCATATCTTTTTTATTGAACTTTTGCATTTAAAAATATAACAATTAAAAATAAAATATCTCGACAGCTTATCGCCCTCTTTACTTTGTGAATACTAATTAATTTAGCTTATTATAATTTATTAAAAACACTTCATACTTTACATATACTTTAAATTTCTCTCTTTGAGACCCTCTTAACTAATTTTCTCGAGTGCTCGCCGAGAAAATGATCGGAGAGAAGGCTTTCTTCAAGAGTAATCGGAATGGGATCGCGAATCGAAAAAACTTTTAACAAGTACATCAAAAAGTATTCCCATCGGACTAAGTTTTAAACGACCGATGCTGCCGTTACACCAAGAGCCACACTTGGTGTGGCCGCAAAAAACTCCGATGATTACTCAATTCCAACGGTATTCCATTTCGACATCGAATCGATCCGGATTCACGGCGCAAGTCTCCAAGTTTCCTCCCCGAGAGGCTGCGTTTCTACTTACGAGAAAAATACGGAGATATCCGCGGCTGTGATCGTCAGAGCAGCCTGGTGGTTCGCCAGCCGTTGAAATCCGTCCGGACGGCGTCCCGATGGCTGGATCGCATCCCGACGACCAGAGGAATCCGCGTCAAGGCGCCGGCATTCCTCTCCGATTAGGACGCGTCACGTCATCTCGGGCCGACGTCCCTCCTCTCTTTATTCCCGGCTGGTCCTCAGAGGAAGTGCATCGGGGATTTCGCTTTTCTCCGGCTTCTCCGCAGCCGGATATTCCGACGGAAAAACGACGCGTGGCAAGACGTACCGGACGCGCTTTCTTCTGCGGATCGCGTATACGCGTGGATGTGTGTGCGTGATACCGGCTGCTGCTGCCGGCGGATGAATGCGACGAGCCTTGAATGGAAGGAACGGAGGCTGTGTGCGTGTGTGTATATGTGGAAGGGAGCTCCGATGTACTTGGATCTTCCTCGGCAGTCCTTCGCCCGCAGGAGACACGCGTGAATCTTCGATCGTCTCTGAAATCTCGACGATTTATTATTCGAGGCACCGGCGTCGATAACGATGACAATCCTCGATGAACAATCCTCTCGGATTCATCGACCTTTGCCCGCGGAGGCGATGACCATTCCGATCGTCTGATCAAGCTGGACGATGAAAATGTCTCGTTCCCGGAGGCCGATAGCCGGTCGCCACTCGAAAGGGTATGCCAATACCCGTTTTACACGCACCTCCACATCAGCAGCCGGCACGTTCTCCGGACCGTGACAACGTTCGCCGGATAACGATTTTGCCCTTTGGTAGAACACGTTCGCCAAATCGCCAACTGATATGTATGCATACGAAAAGATGCCGCGAGACGATTTGAGAGCCACGTTTCGGAGCTCGAGTTGTTCGGGACGAAAATACTACGTCGTGTCGGCGTCTCGCTCCGAACTGCCGCCAGACGCCAGACGAAGTCTTCGACTAGGGGGCCGTTCGAGAACCAAGAGGGGAGCGAGAAAGAGAGAGAGAGAGAGAGAGAGAAAGAGAGAGAGATAGAGAGAGAGAAAGAGAGAGAGAAGTGGTCGATTGGTCAACTTATGTGGCCCCGACGGGAAGGGTGATACCTCCGGGACCCTAGGGGCATTGGGGAACACATGGGAACTCATGAGGGAATAACATCTGCACCGACCAGATCGAAGAGAAGGAGGCGATGATTTTGTTGTGTGGCAAATAAATAGGGCCTTCAGTATATTTGCGTGTCCTTTACAAGGCAACGAATCGAGAACAATAATTGATGCGAAATTATATTAAAATGTGACTTTTAATGCATCTTTCAGAATAACCCGATAACGAGATAAAATATATAGAAAACTGGAAAATTTCTTTTTCTGACAAAATCCGATTTTAGAGATAGAATTGACAATAATGAAAATTTAAAAAAATTAAATCCAGGAGGAATAATAATCATTCTTTGTATTTTTTTTCGAAATGGTAAATAAAAGTCCTCGTTACAATTTTGAACAATTTGAGATTAAAAATTTGTAAAAATTAGTTATTTTTTAACATAGTTAAAATAGTTTATTTTTACGTAATTTATAATTATACGTTGAAAGTTTTAGTTTAAAATTAAGTATAGTTTTTATGTTGAAACTTTTAATTATTTAAAAAAAATTTATAAATTTTGAAGATTAAGGTTAATAACATTTTTTAAATTGTATTATAAATATTGGATCTATTAAGATTAATTAGTGATATTAAGATTAATTATTTCTAGAGTCACTACATAACATATTTTTCAATTCTAACATAGAATGTTGAAAACCCCTATAATAATTTTATAAAAAATTTTTGTGAATCTTAATATTTTGCCATTTTAAATTTGCATTTATTAGATTTGTATTGAGCAATTTAAAAATTTTGAATAAAATTTAGACTCATAAATCTTCATCTAATCTAATTTACTTTCCCGCAATAAATCAACAAAAATTTAATTTGAAAACTTCATTAATCTTAAATTTCGCAAGAGATTTCTTTTAAAGATTGAAGTTTAATAATTAATATAATATCTTTAATATTTAATATAATATCTTAAATGACGTCAAATTTTTTTCAAGGCACGTGCTGCAGTATAAAGTACGTAGAAATAATTGCTTTAACTTCAAATTTTTCAAAATTATAATATAGCATTTTGGTGACTTTTATAGCATTTTGGTGACTTTTATAGAATTTAGTATTTATAAAAATTACAAGGAATGACTACTCTCTCTCTCTCTCTCTCTCTCTTTCTCTCTCTTAGCTCAATTAAAAACAAGTTATGTTATGATACAGTTACATATAGCTATATAATAAATATATTAAAATCTTTTTTATATTTCCGATCGTTTTTATATTTTCCTCTAATATGTAATTGCATAATACTTTTATGGACAAGTTATACGAGAGATATATACATTTGAAATAATATATTTATTTATTTTCGTTTATAATTCTCACATTTTCCGTTTCATCAAAGCAATTTTTATGAGATATTGCTATGACTGAACGATGAAAGAGATTCTTTGAGTTGCTATCTGCCAGAACCGGATGCAATAATTAACCGAAACACGTTCCCAGAACTCTTCTTTCTCACAAACAGTTAGAACTTCTTTTCTCGAAAACCCCGAATTATAACGGAATAATTTTGATCATAATTCAGAAATAGTCTCATTTTAATATGTCAATACCTTAATCTATTAAATACATTATTTTATGTATGCAAAACTTAAAAAAGGGAAAGATTAAATAAAAAATAGTCATACAAAATTATGAAGACAAAGAATTATATTTTTAAAAAGCAACAGTCTCGGATGATCTGGAGAAATAAATTCCGTTAGAAAGTAACCAAGGATTAATATTAGGCATCTTCTAAATCACTCGTTGAGAGAATTCGGGATGGAATTTCAGTGGCTTGCCGGAATTTCCTCGTCAGAATTACCGGAGCGCCAACAGGAAGTCGAAGTGTAATTAACTCTCCGATCGCATCGAAAAATTCGCACGTGGCGTAGGCGAAATCAGCTCGAAGATATCTATAGACATCGAGAATACACGGGAAGAATTATGAGTTACAGCGCGAGAGTAAAAGGATATTCCGACACAGCCTACACGCAGCGATCACAACGTATACAATCCCAAGCGAACTTTCTCAGCTGCGAACTTAAAGGACGAACCGTCTTTCGAACGACCGAACGAACGATTTTGATCGATCAAAAGTATTCGATGCTGCTATAGTATAATTCTCGATCAGCTTTAGAAGAATCTCTGTTATTTAACGCAACGAAAATACTATTGTCGAATTTTTATAACCTGGAATTGCATAATAAAATATATATTTCTTTTCTAAAAAGGGAGGCCATCTTTACTTTCAAAATTAATTGTTAAAGCAATTTAGAGCAGAATCTTCTGTCAGGAGATTATTTAGCTCTATAAAACTATCTTAAATAGTCTCAGAATTTTAAAAAATTGCATTTTTTTATAGAGCTAAATAATCTCCTGACAGAATTACCTAATAAAGAACGTTGCAAATTAGCTTCTCTGATTTGTTGTTGCTTTAAATAATAAAACTCTTTCTAAAATCTATTGAAAACTCTACAATACTTTGGGAGAAAAGAAAGAAGAAATATATACATCCAAAAGTCTAATAATTAAATTTAATTAAATAATTTTTTTTAATAATAATTTAATTAAATAATTTTTTATTTATAATTGGAAAATATAAGAGCCTAATTTTTTCGAGATCTCAAATTTGGATCATCAAAATGAGATTATCAAACGAAAAGTGAGTGTTCGATAGAATGACAAAACAAATTTACAAATCCAACAAAATGCACGCGATTAATCTCTTGCTATATTATAATGAAAGACAGCAATGATCGTTTATCCAAGGTAAATCGATTTATATACGGTTAGATGCAGCTTTAATAATAACGAACCTCGAATCTCGAGTCTCTTGTAACAAGAATACTTTCACTTGTTGATCGTGATTTAGAAGAATACTCTCACAAACGTTCGCGTTTAAGCTTTTTAGCTTTACAAGATAACGAAACGTATCTTACGATCTAAAATAAACGAAACAAATTATGATTAGTGGATCAAAATGTAAATAAAAACGCGCAAATTTATGTTAACTTATCGACCTATCGGAAAAATTGAAATGTGAAGGTTTTATATTTAATATCTACTATATTTTTTTGTAAAAATTGGCAATATTTATATAATTTTTATCGACCCACATTTTATGAAAACCGATTGAGGATAAAAACTTACAAGAACGAGGAATGTCCTTCGATAATTCTCTTGCTAAAATCTTTGACCTATTTTTCAATTTCTAGCGAATGAGCAAATTAGCGATCGGTGTCGAATGAACAAACTTGACGATTTCTTTTTTCAAGTACTCTCGGTTGAGTAATAAACGCACGAGTACACCTAATGGCGGATTGAACGAAAGAGAGCGGGCTCGCGAAATGTAGGTTACATATGCATCAACGGAGAATGAGATTAAAATGATGAAATCGAAACATATACGACAAACTAGGTGACAAAAATCTATCAATTTGCGCCACGACATTGTAAATAAAAAAAGTTTTTTGAGAGTGCCACATCGCGATTGTGCAGCACCTTATGATAATAGATAAGAACTGTGCACAATACATAAATAAGATAAAATAAACTTTTTTAATATAGACGAGACATTAATTATCCGCTCCCATTATCTATAATTAGATATGGGCGGATGTTGAATTAGTGAGCTAGATATATTGTATAATATCTAACACGTACAAACACATATGCAAGGCTTATTTCGTTCATATTCTAATATAACAAGCAATATAAGAAGAAACATGTACTGCTGCATGAGATACAAGAATCCATTAAAGTTATATTGAGAAAGATGATATATATATAATTAAATATATATATAATTAAATTAATATAATTAAATAATTAAATTCATTATTAATTATAATATATTATTTATTAGAATTATACGATTCATTTTTATTAATTATTATATATAATTTTGAAAATAATTATTAATTATTAGTGAAAAATGTGCAGTGACAGAAAAACGGAATGCCGACTATTATATTATTTATTTATTTGTCGTATAGAAGCCGCTTATTCTTGCGCATTTGCGTGTCGGATTGCCAATCGCGCGGCCCATCATTGAAGAAAAATGACAGGATATATCCTTAAGTAAGGCCTTCTCAACGAAAGGAACAATAGACCTCGTCGTCCGCGAGCAAAGACCGCAACTGGGACACGGCTGTCACGATCATCATTATGGACAATAATTGTTTCAAGGGATTTCCTCGATACACTCGCACCGCCGGGTATATCCGCTTTGACACTAGCTACCTATATAGAGTGTTTAGTGAAATACAACAATCTTTCTTTCAATCTCTTTAGATTTTCGATATTATAAATATTTTGTGTTGAATAAATTTAAATTTATCTTATAAAATTATATATTAAATATATTTTATAAATATAAATTCTTTGAGAGAATAAAAAATTTCACTGCACAAAGTTTACATTGAATCGCTAGAAGAATAAAACAACTATCACAAAAATAAATTTTTTAAAAGATTATCATTGAAAAAAATAATTGTTTATTTTCTTTAATTTATTTCTTGGTAACTATGTTTTTTTTTAAATTTATACGAAACTTTTCAAACACTGTATATTGCTGTAATACAAGAAGATTACCGTATCTCGCTATATACCCGTGGTAAAATAATAATTGGCGCAATGATGAATTACATCAAGCTATCATATAGTGCAAAGGCGGGAGATAATGCTTATTTATTTAGCAATATGTTAAAAATTGTGGCGGTTAAATATTTGAACTCGTATCTAATCTTAACCCATGTTAATCTGTTTGTGTTTTACTTTACAATATCTTATCAGACGTTATATACCATAAAACTG